CCCCCCCCCCCCCCCCCCCCCCCCCCCCCCCCCCCCCCCCCCCCCCCCCCCCCCCCCCCCCCCAACCACCCTGTTTTTTCAAATTTTGTTATATGTCCAAAAAGACCGAAAAGAACTGTTTTCAGGAATATTTTAGTGACGCATCTATACGAACTAAGACGTTACGCTCCCTCACTTCGAGATTTTAAAGTATTGGATGGGAGCGCTACGCCTCTGCTCACACCCAAACTCTTATTCACATGCCATCTTATAATTATAATCATGTATACCAAGAGCAGCCAGTTATTGAACATTTCGTTCCTCGATTTTAAATTTTTGAAATTTTTGGTATCGATAACTCATTCTTTCGAGATTTTTGATTTCTTACACGCGAGTTTTGGAAATATGATTTTTCGAAATTATTCTATTCGAGATGTTTCCTTCGAGATTTGGACACAATACATTTTAATCTATCTCATGAACATTATCCAGATATGCATAAAATACTCTGTATTTTAAAAGCATATCGAAGATAATTACCAATTCCACTTATCAATTTCGATATTCAGACTCAATTACTTGGACTTCGTCCATCATCTATATGTGTAACAACAAATCGTTTGTGAACATTTATTATAAGTCTCTCAGCACTCAATGCACAATCAAATGATCATGGAAAATTTAGCTATTTTATTCGGCCCAACAATTATACTTTCAGATAAACCTGATCGAATGATTGACTTGAAAAATCCTAAATCAATTCAACATTTATTTTAAATCTTGATTGAGCAAATTTGTTTTATGGTTTTGCTGTAGACATAATCTTCTCATGAGTCAAATATGTTAACGTGCTTTAGTTCATTTATTGAAGTGTTTGTACACATCTGCAATTTATTAGTCAAATATTGATATGTAAATTAATACATCGTCATTATAGCTAATCGATGATAGTAGTGTAAATTAATATTGTGTATGAAAGAGCGGTTTAATGAGTCACTCTTGTTTATCTTTTGAGTTGTGCCGCCGAAAATGATAAGACCCCGTTGCAGGGCTGTCTCATAAATTCGTTCATGAAGATTTTCGTCGATTAGAATATCTAAATTTCAGTATCTGTAGAACTCTAAGATGTTCCTGGGTTTAAAATCAGAAAATGTCATGAGTGCAGTAATAAAAGAACACGTAGATTATTGACAATGATTAGAGAAAAGTGAAAATATTTTTATTCGGTACGAGTCACCTATGATGTAACTGATTATGTATTACAATTCTTGGCTAATGAGGCTTTAATGAATCTTTGCATTACTCCTGTAGTGGAACCAAAAATATTTCCACTACAAATTATTTTTATATAATTGTACTAATTTTTCAAATGAATTATGTATACTCGCCGTTGTAGACGAATTAATCGAAAAAGAAATCAGCAAATCATATAGTTACATCTCTTCATGCCTGATTTCACACATGAAAACTTCTAACTCGTTTGATTGAAGTAATTTCTTGCGAAGGGATACAACCAAAATGCTTATTTTTTAACAGGTCGAAGATGAACGTCTCTAAATCTGTTTTATTATTATCATGTAACCTGTAATATTCATAATTTATTCATTCTCTTACTTGGATTTTACATATCTGTCTGTCAGAATACATAGAAGTTGATAGAACATTAAATAAAAAGCCGTTGATATGACACATACTACTTTTTCTCAAGGCTTCTCCATGTGAATAATGAAAGTGACTAATTTAAATACAATTTAACTAAGAGATTCTCAATGGTTACAGCTAGATTTCTATGCCAATTTGACACTTGACTTAGCTAGGATCATAACAATCGTTAACACTGCTCCGAACCTTTAGATAATTGCTCAAGCATGTTCTACTACAAACAATGTATTTCAGTCTAAAGCTTATAACATTGCTTTATACTGGAAGAGATCCGGTGATTTATTTACTCTACTCGAAACATGATGGATTATTTATCTACTACTAGTCGATAGTAATACTAGAAATAACTAATAATCCTTTATTTTGATTATTTCACACGAAAAACGTTGTTTGCTAATAACAGTTGATGATAGGCTATACAAAAAATGAGTGCGATGATTATGAAGATGCCTGTCATTAAAGTACTTATTTAGAAAATGTGTTTATATAAGTGAAAACATATTCTAATACATATTATTTTGGGCTATTTTCGTTTTGTGAAATTGTTTACAAAACAAAATATGCACGATATCAAAACAGATAAAAGCGAATTTGTTTTTCAAAACTACGTGACTACGAATATCTGATTGCTATACGATATAACAAGCGACCGAAGTCGTGATTTTATTATACATAATAAATTGATTATCTTGAATTTGGTCGAAAGTAAAAATGTCGAAACTGAGGTGATATTTCCATACATTTTTTTTTCTCTGTGAAAATGAATCAGTCAGTAGACTTAATTAAAATACAAATACAACGTGTATTATTAAAAGAAGACTAACAGACAGTCCAAAACGTTTTTTGGGAATGGTTGCTAATTCATCTTTAAACAATGTTCTATATCTACTTGATTAAAACTTCTTTTTTACCACAATTAAAGACAAACTTTCAGGAAGTTGGCATGCTGTAATGATATAATTAGTTGCTATATATATCATATAACGTCTTTATTTGACTTAGTAATGCTGTTGTTCTTGTGTCTTTCGGCTTCGGTGCATCAGATGGTCATTCTAGTGTATACCTTCTTTATTCGAATTAATGAAATATCAATCATCGTTGATAATAGATATTGAATCAGAGGGAGCTATCATTTTTATTTTGTTTCTCGAATAATGGATGATTGAAAATTCTTATTCGTATTCTTCTTTGTCCATTTCTTTGTACTGAATGAACAATAGTGTGATAGATGGATCATAAATTTACAACATGATAAGTCAATATTCGTCGTGAAATAATGACATCTTTATCACACACTGTTCCAAACAGTCTTCATTTAAAATTCCCTTTTTTACAACAAAGTTTTATTTCAATGTTCGTATTTTCGACATTCTTGCTTTCGACCAAATTCAAGTTTACCAATAAATTGATTAAGAATAGCTTGACATTCAACGATTTCAGTGACGACGTTTGTCTCATCATATATTTAACGAATACGATTTTATCGAATTAGAACTACTTCCGTTTCGTTGTTTTTTACCTTTAACTTATAATTCGTCAGCCTTGTTTTCATTATGCTTCAATTGATACTTATTCGTATATAAAGCTTGATTTTCGTCTCTATTCGATCATTACTTGTACTTGTCAAATAATATATTAACTCATCTATAAGATAATTATCGATTTTAATAAATTTTGAAACGATCTTAATGATCATCAATGATCCGACAGTACTTATGAGTAGTGAAGTGCATCGGGTTTTTTTCGGGTTTGAGTAAACAATAAATAAAAACTTTACACTAATATCAAACTCTATTTTGCAATTTGGGTTCAATAAAAGCGTCCTCCAATTTTCAAATGATGTGCCTTGTTTCGAGAAAAATAATCAATCCATGAAATTGAAGACGGAAAATATACGAAAACAATCGGAGTCCGATTTAAACCGGATTCCGATTTTTTTTGCAATCGTTTTCTGCGTAGAACGACAGAAATAAAAAGCTTTTGAAACCCGAATGCGTCATTCGAAAGCTAAAAGATTGCACTATCGAATTCACATCTAGAGAAAGAGTTTAATCTTGATGTAAAGTTTTTATTTATTGTTTACGCAAACCCGAAAAAACCCGATGCAGTTCAGTACTTATGAGAATCGTCTTGATAACTTAGCCAGTGGCTGTGAGTGTTAGCGTCGTAACATCTCGTGTTGTCATTATTATAATCGGAAGTCAAGAAAAATTGGATGGTGGAAACACTAAAATTGTGCTTAAATCTTCAGCAAACATTAGTTTAAACAGACCCATCGCACCATTTGAACTACCATTCTTCTATAATGTACTGAAAACAATGACAGCATTTATTGATGAAGTGAAAAGAGTTTTGAAAGAGAAATTTCGTGAAAAATTTTTGAATATTGAAGTCATGTATTTTCCACCAGCACTAGTAATCACAATGAGCAGTAAAAGATGCGTTAGTCTCAATAAGCAATTCGTACGAAAACACAACATAAACCTTGATCAAAATGATAAAACAACAATAATAACAACTGCTACTAACAACAATAATAACAACTGCTACTAACAATAATAATACTCGATGCAATGCAACAAACAATGCAACTACTCAATTATCTATTTTATCTTCAAAATTGTTCCTCTACTTTTCAGTAAATAAAGGTGAATCTATTTCAGTTCAAGACATATTTGACGCACTTCAAGATTTAAAACCGTCTATTGCTGTGTTTACTCGATGTAATGATTCAAGCCCTAGTGCTAGTTCTTGCAATGCGGTATTGTCCAAAGCTGACAAAGCTAGCAATGTGACTGATAGCATGGAGACAATAACAGCTAAGTAGAGCGCTTCTGAGTTGTTAAAACAAAGTGTAAGTACTGCGGCAGCAGCTGCTTTTGAAGAGTCTGGAGTTTTGATATTCACAAATAATGCAACGTCATCCTCAGTAAACCCATATCCTACGTCTACTTCTCCGACTGCAACACTGTCATCAACACACACAGAATCTACATCTTCTTCTTCTTCAACTACAACACCAGCAACAACAAACATAGAAACAACGACTTCTTCTTCTTCAACTATAATACTAACAACAACAACAAATACAGAAACACAATATCTAGTTTCAACTATAACACTAATACAAAAACAGCATTTTCAACTGAGACTTCAACAGAGACAATAACAGCAGGAAACATAGACCCAACACTTTGAACAAAAACTGCAACAGATACAACGACAGCAAATCTAAACGGATCGTCTTGATCGTTTACTCGAATAGGCATAACGACAAATACTATTACTACAATTACAAGAGCAGAAAACAGTTAAAATATCGGTTAAATATGATAGCCTGCATCTAATTATCATAGTTGAATCGACTAGGATTCATAATAATCTAAGTTTAAATAAACAATCTTAATTAATCTTTTAGCAATAAACTTCAAAAGTTGAAATTTTTAATGGAGACAATCTATGGAAACTTATTGAATATATTTTATCTAATAAGGATACAATAGCAGAGAAAAAATTCTCATGTATAATAGATATATTGATTTTTCCTAGATATGAACTGGTGCATTAATTTGATAAAGACAACGGGTGAAAATATCTGTGTGAAATAAATAACTTGTTTCCACATAATTATGTTTGATGCATAATATAAGATGAAAACAAATTGCAAATACATTTATTCGGTTAAGACAAAAAACCTAGTTTTCGCCGTGAATAGAATAATTAGCCAATAAATATATCATATCCTATCGTTGACAATAATTATGTCTATCTATAGTTATCGCTCTCGTAGTCGATTAGAGTCATTTTTAAACTGTTCGGTACATATTTTCAAGTGTTCCAAAATGCTGAGAAAGTATCAAAGAAAAGGCACTATAATCACCGAAAAACGCCTAAGGTCGGCTATTCTTCACACATGAATTAGAGCATTGTTTGCTCATTTTTTCTAGATTTCGAACAGAAGAAATACAATTTGGATAAAAACTAAATATCATTTTATGAATCAATACTTGTAAGATTAAATAGAGCGATGGAAACTTGTAATGTTTGTGTCGGCTTGTATTATCTCAATAGCTACCTAAAATTCCCTGAAGATTATGTAAAAATAATTGAGTTCGCAGTACTGTCTTGCTGGTCTATTTAAACGCTATTTTGTGTTTCAGTGTAATTGTGCTATCATAGAATTTCTTATGTAATTCTAACGGAGCTGCAGATGATTTTTTCCGACCAAAAATAACGAATAAAAATTTTAAATTCTCATTAGTCCATCAAATATTAAACAACGATTGATAGATGATTGTTGCTTTTGTTCAAACTTTACTTCTTCTCGTTGAAATATCCGAAATCGATTTAATGATACTCAAGTCCCGTCTGAAAAATGTTTTACTTCGATGTTTTCACAAGTCAGTGTTTTTCTCTCATGTGGCTGCGACTGAGAATGAATTTCGGTCTTCAATTCACCCACACCCGCACTTCTGCTCTCCTATAATATATGCACTATGTTTCGTTAATTCAACATTATGAATTTCAAATAACTAGCATTGTTCTTCAGCATCGTAATGATAGAATGAAACCCTCAAAAGAAACTTTCAAGAGGAAAAGTTTTTTTTTCTTATTGATCTGCTACCAATAAGCTTTAATCGAAACGAGTAAGATAGATAAAAAAATGAAAGCAATACAATGAATAATTATTATTATATTCTACATCGATGACAGTTTTCTCTAATTTGTAACATAAACTGAATGTTTATTCGAAAGCTATTATAGAATACATGCCTAATACATCATTATATTCAATGCACTACGTTATTCTCTTTCTAGAGGAAAAGAAATAAGGTTACTGCTAGTGTCATTGGCAAGTTCTATGCTTGATCTTCATCTACAAGGTTACCCAAGTAATATTGCATAATAAATGAGGCTAGTATATTAAGAGAAGAAACCGTACATGTATGAGATACATGAAAAAAAGAAAACAGTACAAAGGTTGTTAGACTCTTTCTCTCTTTCGCAAGCGCACGCATAAAGACAAGGGCGAAGCAAAACGATTCAATCCGATTGTCAGTATTCTTTAACACAAAAATAAAAAGAATGATCTCGAATCTACATTTAATTTTCCTTGTGACTTTATGTTTTATAACGATGAGTAAAATATATAGAATAAAATACAGATAAGTAAGATAATATGACTCTTGATATTTGTAGCACATGGATTTCGTCGCTATCGTCGTCAACTGAATCAACAAAAGCAGAATATTTTCTTTCCTAACCAACGAACAAGTTGGGCCAGTAACCCAAGTGGTTCTATTATGGGCAGTTACTATTATGGTACTGATGACTCTTAGAAAACATTGCTTTTACATATTTTTACTTTCTAGGTGTTGGATCTGATCCAAATTATGGTTCATTTATCCAACCTCAAAATCGTCCAGACGTCGGTATTTTCCCGATAAGCTATGATCCTGATTCTAGTTATAGTGGCTATCTAATTAATTCGAATCAGCCGTCATTACCTCAGCAATCACAGCAACAGTATTTAGGCAATAATAATAATCCCTGGCAAAGGCCAAACATGTATAGTTATAATAATAAGCCTGATAATTCCTATCCACCCGTCAGTCAAGGATGGTATGCCCCTGGTAATAATTATTGGCAAAATAATGGGCAGTGTCTTATTCAACAACGGTATATTTTGTTGCTGAGCATTCTGATTTTAAGTGTCTGTAGATTAATATAATACTCCTTAAAAAAATTATTTATACTTTTCTATTTTTCGCTTATTACCCTTTGTTTCATATAGCCAAATGTTTTAGCAATGTATCGAAAATAAAAATCATATTTATCACAAAGCACTAGAATTGCTAACTGATGAAGTCAAAAACGCACAAAACTGATTTTAATAAAGCGGAAAATGGCGGAAGCTTTTTTGTCGTAGATTTTTGTTATTTTTGAGAATATTAGGCGTTTATTTTTTGATTTTAACAAAATTTCAAAGCATATAGAAAACAATGATGACTCACTTTTGTATGCCAGCAATTAGAATTGGTTCCAAAATAACAGGTTTTATTCTGTGTGTATGTTCATCAGAAAGCATGCAACACGTTTTATACAATAAAACGGAAAAAATCGGAACAGCGCAAAAGAGTGAAAACAAGGGAATAGTAGAAGAGTTGGCAACCTTAGTTATTTGCATTTGAATGCAGATAGTCACGCCTTTTTTTACAACAATGATCAAGGGAAAACGTTCTACTGTGTAGAATATATTTTAGTAAAATATACTGAGCCTTGTATGTTTCGTAGTTGACTACAAATAGAATTACTAATAAAAAGGTCAAACTTTGTATTGAAGTAAATAATGATGGATTTTAGTAGTATTAGTAAACTGCTTGTCTATGAAGAAAAACTTTGAAATATTCTCTACTGTCAGGAAAGAAACACATTTGCTGATAGTGGAGTGTAAATATTCGAATTTATTTAACATACGTTTATTTTCGAACATCCTCTGCTGAGTGTGCGTATTAATTATAATTAATGAGAATTCTAATTTAATGTCAACACCTAACGTAGGTATCATTATGAACCTTTGTTGCTAATATTGAACTGTAATGGATAGAAAACGTTGATAGCATTAATATCTGCTATTATCATTCATCAACTAAAACAAACGAGGCGAGGCATTTACAGTTTTGTCTTAGAAAATACTAGAAAAAAATGTTAGTAAGTGAGGAATGCAATAAATGGTCTTTTTTTGAATTACTGCATACCATCTAAATATTGATTATCACAGTCAAATTAAAACTTTAACTTTGCATTTATTAAAGTCTTTTAAAAATGTTTTTTTTTTATCCAGAACACAATAGACGATGTTCACAATTTAAGGCTCAATTTAACTTAACAACCAGATAAACGCCTGCTGCTGATTAGTCTGAATTGGTTGTTCTGATACGAGTTACCTCAATCAGGGATTGTCCAATCAGCTTCAAATAAATTTTGCATTTTTGTTCTCGCCTTCTCACGTCACATACTTTTTTGAACATTTTTTTTCGTCTGTTGAATGTAACACATTGACAGAGTGGGGATCTAAAGATCCTTCTTTTTAAATATACACGTAAAGAAGACGAGCATAAGCAAAGTCCATTGTTAAATTTTCGGTTCGAATTACTTAAGGTGACTCAATATGCGTATGGGAAGTGATCGTACTATTCTCCTGAGGAATTTTAATTTATACATTAGACTTTTATTTTTGCAGCGTAATTTATATAAGGCAGTAAGGCGTTCAATAGCTGGAATGTCTGTTTAATGAGTCGCGACATCTATTGACATGTATCTATAATCTAGCGCATTAGTCATTATTAATGAAAATATGCATATTGAATTGAAGATTCTCAAAAGATCACCTCTATATACGAAATATATCGTTGAAGCGATTTATTTACTTGATTTCATTATAAAATACAGATTCGTGATCTAAATCATATACGAGCGAATCGATATGCCAATGTTTACTGGTCAGATCGTCAAATAATCGTCAAGCTTTTATAGGCCGTTTCAAGCTCTGTAGGAAGTCATCGATTATAACCTATTTAGTAGCAGAATTGAGTATCATGATAGTAATTAATAACAATTGATATTCTTTGTAAAAGTTAAATATTTGATTGAATGGTGATATTTAGTATTGTAGGTGTTCGAATCAAGGTAATAGAATCCAACTGTTCGATGATGATTTCTACACCGTTTACCCGTCTGAAATAGATAATAATGTTGATAACTTTGTGTCCTGAGAACAGTTTTGGTTTTTTTTTGTGAAATGTAGATATGTTCCTATAGTACGCACTGATTCCGATTTGCATTACATAATGTGTACGAAGATTGGTATATTTCATTTATCCGATACTACATTGAATGATTTATATCAGTAAAAAGCATATTCTAACCCAATAAATGTTTCTCATCGTATTTGTTAAACATTAGCATCAATAGTTCTTTTCATTATATTTGTTTTCTTGAGCATTCTCATTTTTTTGAAAGATGTTTCAGATATAAAGGTATTGGAAAAAAGACTGAAGTCAACACTGGTGATTATTTCATATATATATTATGAATAAACAACATGAAAGTAGAACAAATAAACGATTTGTTGTTTTCTTATTACCTTTTTATGAGAAATTCTAAGCTCTATGACTCATCGAATCATTTGTGGAAGAAAGATAAATTATAGATTATATTCATTATGCATGGAGCCACGTAAATAGAAAGCGTTGAACGGGACAGTGAGTCGAGCGAAGACACATAGTTTTCATGAAACTTATATGAAGTTATTAACAATTAAATTACTTTCAATTCATTAATTGAATTCTTTTATTTCAATAAATGAGCATCATCTGAATTTATTTTTTATTGCATAATTTTTATTGAATTATTTTCCATGGTCACTACTACTGCTACTACTTCCACTTGCTGGTCTACTTGCAATAGTAGCTGCTTTACTAGCCATATGTTTTGGACGAATACGTTGATCAATAAGTTTGATAATATGATCAATTCGATAATAAAGATCACGATAAGTTTTTATTAATGGATCACATAACATAAGTTCATAACATAGTTTTCTTGCTCGTGGCCATGCTTTACGTTGAATAGCACTGAACAAAGCAAACATAAGTACATCTGGTGGTATATATGGTAAAAAATTCCGAATAATAGGTGGAGGTTTTTCTGGTTTTACTACTGGTTTCTCTGCTTGAGGTCTAGTTCGACTTGAAACTGAGATTGGCTAAAATGAAATATATTAATAAATAGTAGATATACGTATTGAAAAATATATTTTACCTCTTTAATAACTCTCATAACAGGCGAATCAAGACTAAAACGAGTCTCTTGTTTCTTTTTACTTGACATTGTGGCAATGAAACATAGGCTCACAATCGAACATTTTATATGATTAATAAATTGTTGCATGACAGAAAAGCCGATTTTAATTTGCGAATAAAAATCTGGGGCAAATTTTTTGTTAAACTAGATCATAAAACAGGAAAAGTAGATGTTAGTAATCGTATTCGCTGATTGTTTATTTTGAAAACTTATTATGTTTGCTTATTGACGTAACGAAAAGATGAAATAACTTTTTATTAATATTCTAATTGCGATGCAAATAGTCTAGTTCATTTTTTGCCTATCAAGCCAATCAAAGTTCACAGTTTTTTGTATTAATTAGATATACTTATATTTGTTGTTAAACGAAGCTGGAGCTATCCATTCATTCTTTTTCACTCAAAAACACCATACAACAACCTGCAGTTATATTATTATTTAATGAAATTTCGACTTTAGAAGTTTGTTCTATTTTCTTTATCTTGATAATCATTGGGATGCAAAATAGTTTTGATGACTAATTTTCAAACGTTGATTCATAAGTATAATCTAACGCTTAGTTTTTATATTTTTATTATGACATCTGTTTTTACTTTGTTTATGAATGGCAAAGATTGTTGAATAATGATTCAATGAAATTTTATCTTTCAAATCATTTCGCGTTTTTTAAACAAAAAAGGTAATTCAAAATAATTACATCATACTTGTGGAGATGTTCGATGGAGTACAAATAAAAACTAGGATTATTATTTTAACTCTCAGTAAAACAATTTTATTGGAATAAACAAATGAATTTCTTTTCTGTAGCTAAACTATCCTTATTTTTTTACTGTAACGATTAGTATTAATTAAATGCAAATTACAAATCGTTTATACTTTAGAAGAATATATTCAGAGAATTTATAATAAAAATTAAATAACATGGTTAATATGGTTGACGTGATATGAACGTCGTATTAAATTTTGGAATACTCTAAAAAAATTAACAGAGGCTATCTTTTTGTTTCGATTTTTTGAGACTATAAATGAAATTATTCAATAGTAATGCAATATAACATAGAAAGGCTATGCAATTATTCTATTACAGGTGGATAGTTTTGGGTTTCAAACATAGTGTGATTTCACTAGAATTCACAGAAAAAATCATTGGCTTCGATAGAAAAACCGGGCAAATTTCGGTGATTTCCTAAGGTTTTTAGCGGAAAAGAGCTAGAAATATTCCGAGACTTTTCCAATGGGAATACTACTTCCATCTTTCAAATTTTCGCACTACTTTCCTGCCGGAATCAGTTCATTATTTGTTTAAACGGAAAAAAATAATCATATTTCGAACTCCTTCTCGCAGGCGTCGTCGGCACCTTAGTGACCAGGGTGGCCAGATCAAAAATTGAAAAATCAGAAAATATTTTTTCAAAATCAGAAAACGATCAGAAACTTTCTCTGAAAAACCAGAAATTAATCAGAAAATGGCAGATTTTGACAAATTAGTACATCTTCCGCTAAAATAGTGGCATCCAAAATTCTGCTGCATTTCTGTTCACTGACTGGAA